TATATATATATATATATATGAAGATGATACGAATATATAAAGATTTGAGATATTTCAAAAAATACACAAGGTTTAGAGAGAAAAATTAAAGCCAAAGAGAAAATCTTATTTTCAAAATGGCCCATGTTTCACTCTAAATTACGCGAAAACTACTGACATTTTCAAAAAATATATATGGCATTAATTAAATATCTAATTTTGAGAACAGATTTAATTTTTAAAATATCCATCTTCAACAATGTAGTTGTAAGAGAGTCCACAATGTTGTATGAAAAAGTGACACATGAATTTCACTCTATTCTAGCAAAAAATGTTAAGCCATTTTTGCATGGGAAATATTCATTTTGGAAAAAATCCTACGAATGGTTTGTTTAGGCGGTAGTGTTGTTCTGGAACGGACGATGACATGGATGTTTTGAAAAAACACTTTTTCAGTACATTGGAGAAGATGGCGGCATCGAATCCACCGAGAAGACAATAATTAATTAGCAACAATAAGCTTACGAACTGTATTAAAGCCGTACGGTTTAACTATGTTAAAGGTCATGGAATCATTAATCAATAACGAGATCGAAACATGTTATTAGAATTTCAATTCAGTAAGCAGTAAATTTCACAGAAGTTCCAGGAATCTGGATGTCTATACAGTCTATAGAAGCAACAGGGAAGGTGTGACGTAGTTGTGCGACGAACTCGTGCAAGATTTTAAAGAAAAACAGAGCTAGCCAAACTACGAGTTATCAGAGTAATTAATTTACGAGCATAGGGCAAATTAAATTAGAAGTATCATAAAAACGTTACAATCAGCTGCCTAGCTTGGGCCATGATAAAATAAATTTAATTAGTAACATGCAATATTAATGCAGATTAAAATATGTCTGCCCATCGCGGGGCAAGAGAAACTTGAATAAAAAGCAGGTTACAATTCGTCAATATTTCGGAAAAATAAGGACGCCGGCAGACACATGGCATCTGGGTGAACTTGTTTCCTTCGGGTGTATAATTATATTGGGGGGTGTATATTATATTGGGGACGCGGGCTGATTCAGCTCGATGTATAAGAAAATGCATTCTACTCTAAATACGTTATTGTAATAAAAGGAAAACCGATAATTATAAAAAAAATTACCGTAGAACAAAGATGATGCTACAAGGATGATAATAACAATAATAATAATAATAATAATAATAATAATAATAATAATAATAATAATAATAATTAATAATAATAATAAATAATAATAATAATGATGCTACAAGATTATGGGAGATACAATTAGAGAGTTTGGGGCAGAGGCATATTTGCCATTGTGAGGCCTTGGTAAGAAAAAGTAGAAAAATCATATTCCTATGTGCAGTAAATTACTTCCTCTAACACGTTGTGTAGTCAAAATTCATGTATTCATGTTTTCTGGGTCTGACCAACTGAAATGGTACCAAAAAAAGATTGACGGCAAAATGTCTGTCCGACCGTACTTTGAGTACCCACTTTATATTAGACCTCAATTACATTTTCAAAATTTTCTCAAAAATGGTTCCAAATGTATTAAAATTACCCTCTGGGAACTTAAAAACCTATTTTATAATGCCATGCATCTCATTTTAGTTGAAATTTTCATTTTTTTATTTTAAAAGTTCAATCACTTCAAAATGTTGTATCATAGACTATTTTCATTCTCAACCTTAAACCAATTTAGTTTCAACTACATTGAACTTGTACTAGCAACCTATATTTTTATAGAACACATCACATAGCTCTGCTCTTCCCAGTCCGAATCCTTTAAATTCCATAATAATTGACCGAGAATATCAAGGAACTATGATACGTAGTATGTAACAATACTACCCTTTTTTCCAAATAACTTGGATCAACCAGATGACTTATGACATAATCTGCAAAATAATCCTACTCTCTTACCTACCTTCTTCGTTATTTTGGCCTAATCTAAATATTTCTTACACTAGCTTTCTACCTACTATCATTTCCAGGTAGGCCCTATTTAAACCACTGACAGACTCGTGCTTACCCCATCAAAGCATTCATTTGGTCTTATCACTTCTTATTTTACAGACTATTTCCCTCTATATACAGTATGTTTAGGTTAGAACACATTAAATAACAATTGAGTTACAGCCAACCATTTATGTACTGTAGCTTGATTTTCTTTAATATCTCTTACATTACTCTTTACATCAAACCCTGTCTTTCACCAGCAAATTAATGGATGGCCGCTGTTCAGAGAACCCACCATTCAGTCTTATTTAATAAACAATGAAGGACCTGATTTGCTTCCATGTGCTATTCCTTTTTGAAGCATTTTTACAATATTACTGACCCAAAGACCCTTTGTGACCCCATCATTCATTCATTCATTAATCTAGCATACAATACCCCTCAAAATCAGAGCTACATTTAGCCCATTTACAATCCTAAACACACCTTCCATCCTTATCTTATTCACCTATTCATTTTCACATTAATTTGTTCAATGTTGCTGATCACTAGTGCACCAGAAGTTTGGCAAAATGCCTTTGTTATTGTTACTATTTCACAACTTTTGACAATAGCAACACTGAATAATGTTTTTGGCAGTTTTAGTTACTGATGCCCATTTTTGCCATTTTGTTTTATTTTGCCTTTTATGTCATTATTTTGCTTTTTTTCTCCTGGCAGAGATTTTGATCAAGCTGGATACTTACCTGCAAGCTCATTCAACATTTAGGCCAAGTCATATGTTGTCTTTCTGTGGAAGCAGAGGTTGTGTTAAAAAATATTTTTGAATCTTTTCATTGATGCTGACAGCCTTTAATTGCACATGAAGAATCCCTACTTTTGAGTACGGCGTCGGATTACTTTTGAGGACAGCTCTCTGTGTATGATATACCTTTCTCAGTAGTGGTGATTACACAAGTGCAAAGAATGAAAAATATTATTTGTTTATTTTAAAGTTAAAAATAATATTTGTTTTCACTACTACATTTCAAGATTCAAAAGGCAGCCCACAATATTATTTCAAAGAGTCATGAATAAAACAAATTCGTAGCCATCGTAATGGATGGTCATTTGAAATCAAAATTACAAAGAAAATGTAATTTCCGTTCCTGTTAAAAGCTAATGTAAATATTAGAGATAGAATAAAAACGTCAATCGTTTTAATTATTCATTTTTTTCAATAATCTCTTTTGAACATGATTTGTCATAGTTTACTCTTCTTTTTGCACCCCTACTTTGGCTAGAATAAATGCCTTTTATATGCATATTTTAGGTAAAATAAATGCTTGAACTTCTGGGCTCTACTAATCAATCTCATTCACTCACAGGTTTAATTTTATTATGACCTCAGTCCTTGAAGCAACAAAGTTATTTGCCCTCACAGGATTTCACTTTCCCACCTTATCACCAAATGCCATCTTTTCTAGCACATCCATGCCATATATACTCTCTGCATGCCTTTAGTGTCTTCCACATTCTAGTTGCGTCCCCTTTATGATCATCATGGCTAAAGAGATCAATGGTACGAATCACAATATGATTTTTGATCACTTAATAATCGACTAACATTAAAACCATCTGCCAATACTAAAGTGATACATTTATTATGCGGCACCTACGACAAATGACACACAGATCACTTTCGAATTTATATATGCTCACCAGTTCAGATCAAATTTACCATAACCTGGATTTCAACTAAAAGGTTTCATAGATCACTTTAGTTTCAGGACAGCCTTTCTCCTCTTTTGCATTAAGTTTATTTCTGCTTTATTTTCTTTCTCATATTATCATGTATAAACTACAAAAATTATGTAGTTTAGTAACAAATATGTATTATTTAACAATGATGAATGGTGGCCCCCTCCAAAATGGTTGGCTGGATCCGTCCCTGGTGCCAATATCATATTTACAAAAATAGTAGGAATTCTCACAATTGAACTAATACAAAATAATTAAATAAATAGTTTTATTTTTCAAACAAGGACAATATATCACTCTTAAGCTACAATACAAAGCATTTACAATAGAATCTTTAATTACAATTTTCATATACATAAACAACAAAACAATTGTTACATACAGTACATTAAATGCATAGTATTTGGAAAGATTCTTTCTAATGGCATTCTCTTATGATCCCAAAATAATCATTAAGTTGTCAACATCACTGCTGAATCTCATTAAAAAATTTCATATCAACTAAGATAATTACAATATTAATATTATATTGCAATTTACTTTTGGGTATTTCATGGTAATGTCATGATTCTTTTGGGAACAAAGTTCTATGGTAGACGCAAACTTCTGCCACAATTTTCTCAACTAATATGTAAAAAACTAAACTGTGTAAAGTTGGCAATTATGTCTGGAAAAAGGTTTGAGCTATATATGATGAACAACTATAATTCCTAAATAGTTGCTAATTTTTCAAATTATAATCAAATAGAAAACAGCATTGGAAACATTGATAAACATACTATATATTTAGAGAGAGCTACCTGGCTAGAAATTTAATTTACAAAAGAAACATTTATATTATTAAAGTAAATATATAAAAAGGTGCATTTAATTAGTTAAATTATTGTATAACTGTGTGTACTGGCTAGTGACACAATGTTTGATAATTTAAATTTTAATACTTTAAGTAATTTCCGACATCCCACTTTCTGTATATTATGCCAAATCAGTTCTTAATTTATAACATTATCAAATTATTAGCAATACTTCTGAACAATTTCTTTCCAAGATAAAGAGGCCAAGTGTGTTAGAAGTCATTTGTAAGAAAATATTTCACCTTCAATTTCTGAAATTAAACTTAGCATCTACAATCGGAAATCTTATTGCAACAAAGTAAATGAACGATTAACTTTTTTTCTTGACATCATTTCACAGATTTGTGAATTAGTTTTTGCCATTGACAGTGAATTGATTGATTTCTCAGAAACAGAAATAATAACACATATCTTCTGAAATTTTCAAAATTGGTTTATTCATCTTGAGAATATTCTTAATAAAATTTTAAACAAAAATTTCTTTTCAAATTCTTTGCTACTTAACTTTTAAATACATTAACATAAAATTATACAACATATATTGAAGTTCATTAATCTAACATCAAATATCTGCCCATTAAGTAACTATTGTCATAATCTGAAATATAACACACAATTTAAATACATTTTTCTACATAAAAAGCCATCCATATTTTTACATACATATAATAGTAAATTAAAAATAATTTATCTTAACTTCATTACCAGGAATTATTATACTCTTTAAATATTTCCTACTTTTCCAAATATAGTACATTTAAGAAGTGAAAAACATAATACAGGGCAAACCCCATCATTCTTGGTGATCGTAAGTCACAATTATGAGGTTACAGTGGATTGCTGGAACTGTGCTTTCCATTCCACAGGAGCCAACTCATCTAAGCGCTTGTCGAGAAAATTCACTTTTGAACTCAGCTGCTGCATTGTTTGTTCAATGGTAGCTAATCTCCGTGATTGAAATTCAGGCACCAGCAATTCTACTCGCTGGACCTGCAACAATCAGACAAAAAGCAATGATTATAAAACCTAAAAATTATATTTTGAAATAAATTTGTACTAAGCTACTAAATAAATCAATACTCACACGTTGTTCTAAACAATTGATTTTACTGCGTACAGACTCAATGTATGTAGGAGAGTAAGCTAATCTTGGAGAAACTGGGGCTGAAAAAAATTTGAACATTGAAACACTGTACCAACAATGTTTCATTATTAATTTATGAAACAAATATACCTACAGTTTTGATGTATTCTTGCAATATCCATCACAAATGGGCTAGGAAAATAAATTTGTAATGCATTATAGTTTCGTATTCAATTCAGAATATAAAAATTCAAGAATTCACAAATCAAAATATGGTAATTTTTAAAATAAGCCTACTTTTGTTCAGAACTCCCTTCCAATAATGATGTTAAGGTAATTAGTTTTTCATCCATTCTCCTCAATTTAATAACAATTCCATTCTCTGGCAAACTAAGCCATGAACGAATTTGGGATTTCAGATCATTAAAATTAGAATTTTGCTTCAATTTCATGGCAATGGGCGCTGAGATCGGCAGATCATCCTCAGAGTTCTCGTCTACAACAAATGTAATTCAAAGACAAATCTCTGTGGCAACAAGTTCACTGTTCGTGTTTAGCAACACCTAGTTTACTTTACCGAGTTCGTCGTATCTTCTCACAATAACCCACGCCGTAACAGAATCTAAGCCCATGTTGAAAGCAGTTGAAAAGTCACTAGCCTTCCGCGCCCCCCTTCTGGTATTTTACATACACAGTTTATTCTATCTAATATTGCAAATAGGCACAAGTAAACCTCTTCAAGCAACAAGTTTACAAGTTTAGTACTTCAACTTCAATCACTTCAATGCGCTTCAATGACAGACAGTGGTGCCAACATATTTTAGAAATGTCCAGATTGACGTCACAATTTTTGCCGGGAAAGTGTTAGGCACGAAGTCTTCAGCAGTCTGTGTAGTAGGTAGTACGAGAAGCAGAGTTGTGGTTGGGCGGATTGTTCTATGCGTTAAAGCTTTTCCTAAAGCATTAGTAAATTTTACTTTCTCGCCCTTTTCTCCATAAGAAGTAATTTTAAATATAAAAATTTCACAAAGAAGATCATCCATATTTCTGTACTTAAATAGCTTCAAAAAATTTTAGTCATAAAATAGAGAATACTCAAATCATGTATTTTTGTATTCGAAAGTATTCTTGAGAGGATTCTAATGCTTTTTTTAAAGGAAAAGTCAAAAATGCCGAGCGATTTGGCAATAATAAAGAGTGAATGTGTATAATAGTTGAGCTGGGGATATAGGCACGAAAAACTAGAAATGGGCATGCAAAATAGGTATTTACAAATGTGAAATAGGCAGTGGGTGGATTTCGGATCTTTTATTGGGGGGACGGGTCTCCCCGCACAAGATGGTAAAAAGTTCCCCTAAACCAAATGGCATACGAGTATAATTCTAAATATACGATACACTGCAATTCTAACATTAACATAATATTTTTTAGAGATTTCTTAGTCCTCGTCCCACCACCCACATCCCTCTACAGCCTGAAAAGTGTTTTATTTTCCCTCAACTTAACACTATTTTATCAGATTAAAAATAGGCAAAATAGATTACTTTATACTATCAGAAAACCATTTTTTGATATTTTCTCAGCGACAAATCCAAACGCAAAGTTATTTTTTTGAAAAAATATGGAGAACTGCTCTGTTTCACTAAATCCGCTGTCTCATCAGCTAATACCGAAAGAGCTGATGCATATCTTACAATGTTGAATATTTTCCCGTTGAGCACATCAGCACGTTTTCGATCAGTTCGTTTTGTATTTGGTGCGATATACACAAAGCATTTTTTAACCCTAATCAAAAATGGTTTCTTCCTAACTTTATCTCCATACTTCATCAAATTCAGCATATTTGTGAAGACTGAACCTTCATCGTTTTCTACGCAAATGAAAATTTGTGTTGTGCGATGAATAAGGCTACAGACAAGATTGATCGAAAACTATTCCTGTTATCTTCAATGGTCTTGTGATACTTCGAATCCAAAATTTGATGGACGCTGAGTTGCTATCTTTCATAATTTCCTGAAAACGTCTTAAAGAGATTGCATTTAGCGGCCACTGGCACGTTGCGCGAGATTTTGCAGCTTCAATGAATTTATATTTCAAGCAAGGAGAAACAGTGAATTGTCCTTGTACACCACGCTGAACAAGAGATGAAAACAGATGAAAAGTCTGCAGAAAGATTCCTTTGCACTGTTTGAGTAGTAAAACCACGGGTATATTTTAAGCCATTCCAAACCAAAAGTTTGTAGAGTTGGACGTTGTATCATTCTTGAAATCATTCGTTTGACTAAGGGACCAAGGCTCTTTTGACCAAACGAATTTCATCATCATCATTATGACAATTATGTAAATGTAGTCCCATGTCCAAACGATTAACTCTCATTCACTAACTGTTGTACCTGGAAAGGCATTGTACTTGAGCTATTAGGGTCTGAACTCTATAACTCTTAGACTGGTATCTGTGCCGGAACGAGATTTTAAACTAGTACTTAGGTCTATACCAGTACTGCTTGTACTAGTTGTTGGATCGTTAATCTTTCGTTTTTTTCAGAGAAATAGTCGTGTGTCACTCATGTTGACTTTTTCCAGGCAAAAATTGCGATTTCAAAAAACAACAACAATATCGTATCCAATATTATTTCAGCAGTATACATACCTTTTCAGACGCTCACACGCATCGGATCCTTATAAATGAGGTCTCTAAAGAAAGATAATTTCACGGAGTCGTGACGAATTGCACTTTGACTTTAAAAACGCGAAGGGTTTGTTTACAAAGCGCATCCAAAGATTCATGTCAAATGCAACCCTGCTCAAATGCAGAACTGTCAGCTATATCTTTAAATAAACTCCTAAACAAAGCGTTCTGGGTCTTAAAAAGTAAACTTTGAAGCTAGAGACCAAAGGCTCAAAGAAACGTTTTTCACGCTGTAATCTATGAATAGAGATTCTTTAAAATTATATTGATTTTTTTCTGGTTTGGTACTTATAGCTACTACCAATGCCACCTATATTAAATATAGGTCATTTGAACTTTTCAACCCTTTGTGACGTCACGTTTAGAAGGCTTAGATTTCTCTATCTTTGCGATTTCTGTGTACATCGTACTATGCGCACTGGCGAGGATTATTTGCATAATTATTAATTCAAGATTCGCTCTCGCAGCAACAACTAGACGTACTATTAATAATTGCTTGATACCGATGAAGACTGTTTTTTGGGCGTGTAGTCAAAACATTCAATTAACGTTTTGCCGATGACTACAAGTGCAGTTAATTATACGCGCACGTTTTCTTGAGCTCCGGAATACCTTCCCCCCCATTCTTTGGCCAACACTAGTTGAATTAAGAATAAATGATAGCAACGAGCGTTGTAGACAAAATCTGATACCCAGAAATGGTTGCTCCCATGTAATAGAAACTATTTTGCATCGAAAAAGGTAACTACAAATTTGATGCAAAATTTGAAATTTTCGTCAAAATAACCGAACTTCCCACTCCTCTCGCAACTAGCGAAGCGAGGACTCAAGAAAACTTGCGCGGATAATACCTAATTGTGAAGGAATGTGGGTGTACTGTGAAACGTGTGAAGATACGTCTTGTTAGGTTTGCATACTACCGAGCGCCGTAGGCGGGGTCGCCACGCCGCGCTCGACAAGCTGAGTGGGCGTCAGCGCGCCACCGGCCGCTGCAGCGCGCCACCAATGCTATGCCATAGCAATTAACAACTTCCCTTTTTCATGGAAATTACTGGCAAATGGATAGTGAAAGGGTGGAGATTAACATGCGAAAGTTCTCACACGGGTACTCTAGTATATTATATATTACAGTAATTCAATGAGAAATGTCTCGTTTTTTAAAAAATAACGTATATTTTTTATGTTTAAATTTATTATTTGAATATGATTATAATTAACGCAGTGTTCTGTATATCATACGTATTACTTGAAATTATTGCATATGAGTTTCAAATATCCATAATACCTGTAATATTATGATTTACATTTTCCAAAATGGGTTCCAAGTATTTGAAACAGGATTTATCCACTTTTTCGTCTTCAATATTGTAGTTGTGGGAAAAAGGCTGAAAAAATTCGAATTTCAGCAATTTGCAGAAATTCAGAGTTCAACAAAAATGTAACCGGTGCCATTTACTCTGTTTGGGGGGGGGGGCGTAATAAAAAATTGAAGCCATTTTTGAGAAAATGTTGAAAATATTGTTAAGGATGAAGCCTTAAAATAATTACCGCCAAAAAGTATTCTTTCAATTCGCAGACCTTTTGGCAGATCGATAGGGGAATATCAAAGTTGCAGAAAATCGTGTGAACGATTTAGGCTCTAGCGTTGCTTAGAGGCAGAAAGATGGACGCACGGGCAGACATTTTTTTGCCGATTGCCAGTTTTTCGATAAGAAGGGGCTCAAACAACGGAATTGGGGTTCACATGTTAGAGGAGGTGATTCGTATTAGAGGAATGTGCAGTTGGTGGAAAGAACAAGCCACTTTTTCGGTATCAGGACCCAATTTTTTTGTCAAAATCGGTCTTTTTTGCATCAGCATTACAATGTTATCTCTACATTACGTGAGTAGTATGCGAGAAAGTAAAAATCTACTGTGTTACATTGGGGGAGGGGGAGTCCTATCTCTCGAAAGTGCCGCTGCCAGCAGGGCACCAATTATTGTAGGTTTATTCCACAAATTATTGTACGAGTTATGCCAGATGGCAGAATGTCTGAAATTTTTGTAAAGCTATCTCTCTGACGCCGGTCTCCCTTCCCGAACTAAAGAATATTAAAATGTAGTGAACATACGTTCGAGGACGAGATGAGGACTTGAAGAGAGTCAAAATGCTCTAATCGCGAGACCCGTTCTTCAGTGGGAGGTAATGGTTCCTAGTGCGAGAGATATCTTTCCAAGCTGAAACTATTTGGAATTTGTACCGACATGTAACTATCCAATATAGACTTGATTCTGAATTTAGCCAGGTTAGCCGGTTTGTTGTTTTATTTATTTTATGTTATATATTGGGTAAGGAATTTCTGTCCTTCAACACGTGAATTGTATTGTTCAATTTTGAATGAGATGTTTCGGAGTGTAGTAGTCTGTGGTATCGAACGTCACAAATTGGAAGTGCAGCAACCGATTATCTTTGGATTGATTTACTGCTTTTGACTTCAGACTTCGATTTTGTATGCAATACTGTTGAATACTACTCATTTGAGGGTAAACAAGTCGCTATTGATGGTGATATATTGTGGATTGCTTATAGAATTTGTTGTGTGCCTTTGAAATTCAATACATTTCGAGTAGTTGAACTAACGCGGTAATGGCAACACATCTGGTTTTAGGTATTAATTTTTTGTTTTGATAGGGTGTTTTTGCGTGATCATATGCCAATGAAAAGCTGGAAAATAATATAGTACATCTTTAATTTCATGTACGATTTTGTGCTCTTTCTCAATTATTTTTACTTTCAATTGGCTTACAAACTTCAATTTTACACATTCGGCTTAAAAATTATGATTGTGAAGCAAAATTCGCATGCATGCATTGTTGTTATTGTTGTTGTGGAATAATGTGAACTTCTGTGATGACTTTATGGACTTCTTGTGTCACAACAGATGTACTTCATGCGAAGGTTCAAGTTGCAGCTGGATAATTCAATTGTGCTTATGGTACACGGAAGATAACTACTAGTTTGGTGGTAGTAATTAATGATAATTTGAATGATAATATCCACAATGTGGTCAGGTGATGCAAATTATTCTCAGTGGGCCTTAAACCCATCAGCATATCAAAATGTCTCTCACGAGGAAGGTATGTATAAAAGTTTGAAGTTAATTGAGATTTGCTTAATTATTTCAAGTATATTTACTAAGTCATTGAAACAAGATATATTTCCTGTTGGTTTTTAGGCAGGCATTCATGGAGATACATTACTTGAAATGTAAATGTAACTTCTTTTAGAGCTAGTCTGTTCATAGTTAATAAATAATATACATTAGTTAGGCTATATATTACTAAAGGTTTATTGTGTGAGAAATTTTTAATATTGAACATGCATGTTCTAGAACTTTTGTAGACTTTGTTACCTTGGTAGGGACTTATTTTATGATTGGAAGCAATTACATGTAGGTGTATAAATAATTACTTACTTATTGTGTTTTAATATTTCTGTAAGTTGTTATCTGAGTAAATAAAGAAATGATAGCATTTTCACAATTTTTGAGAGAGTTGACAACTTGCATGTTCACACACTCGCACATAAATGAGAGTTGAAGAAAAATATGTACGTGATAGAAACTAAACACAGCTTAACAGCAGTAATTTACATTTTTCAAAGGTTTGTGTACTTCTATAATCTTGTATTTATGTACTATTAATGAGACTGAATCCATTATTTTGCGTCTGCAGTGGATTGGGCAGCTCTTGCCCAACAATGGATTCAAATGAAAGAAACACATCCAAATGAACAAATTCCACCAGCACCTCCACCACCACCCCTGGGAGATACTAGAATTACATCAGAAAAAAAGAAGGATGAGGTTGAAGGTGGGGAAGCACCAATGGATATGGATTCTAAAGAGGATATGGACAACTCAAACGCTTCAAGTTCTCAGGGTATGTGTATGAGTGTTTGTATTTGGCATTAAAATAAGTAAGGTCTTCAACTGGATTCCAGGAACCTCAGTTAATAGAAACTGAGTAGTCAGTTTACAATGCAATTCTTTTTATCTTCTACAACTGTTTTTTTTTTTTCCTTTCCTGGTACCTGTTGACATTTTGCGGATTCTGTGCAAGAACTTACTTTTGTTAGAAGAGACTTTGGTTGATGTAAAGACTCTTGTTTGTGTAATGAATTATTGTAACTGCTTGTCTTCCAGGGTGGGTGAATTTCTTTGAGTATATTTTTTATTTACCTTCATTCTTTCTATTTGGTTTTCAAATTAGCGTTTTAACAAAATAAGATAGCTTAGTAACAGTGGAATTTAAACCAAGTATAAAGTTATTATAAATAAAGTTCCGGTTTTTGTCTTGTAAACACTGAGAAACTCTGACATCTGTTGTTTACGCTAAGATTGCTTCTTGAAAATTGAAACCAGCATAACCCATTGCATGAAATTATAAAGGTCTTTTAAAAACTGAAGCAGTTTCATTATTTTATGGTTCCAGTACTGTTTCAGTATCACAATGTGAGAATATTTCATAATAACTCGTATTCTCAATTATATTGCAACAACTAAATAAAGTTTTTGTTATTGCAATTGGCTAGTTAACCTTTCAGATATGGAGTGTTTTTTCTTCTGCAATCCGCACCCTCAGCAGATTTTTGCGAGTGTTGATGATGGCAGAGGTGGGCTAGTATTGCATAGGACAGCAATGCCACCCAATGGGCTGTGTGCTACAATGAGGCGATGTGTGTTTATGAGCGGAAATAAGTATGAAAGATGTATGCATGGTGAAATGGAGAAGTGTACATGCTATAATACGATTTATTTATATGTGCATTTGAAGTAAGTCAGCTATTGACAGTTTCATCGAATTAGGAGCTTATATTTTGCTACATGACATTGCTATAGTGATGTTCAAGCTCCCAATTGGATGAAACCGTCAACAACTGATTTACTCTAAATGCATGTATAAATAAATCCAAATCTAATGCATGGATTTTTTAAATAATTATTATTATTATTAGTTTTTTATTAGCCAACTGCACATCTTGTTAAGGGCAAGGGCCTCCTGTTCACATAGGGAATTATAAATCCTTCGTCCTGAAGTGACACTACTGCCTTAGCGATCTCTGCTATCCGGATTGTCATGGAAATATTACACTTCAAATAATAATAATAATAATAATATATATTTCAGCAACTGAAATATTTAAATAGGAATACACTATTTTTATTGTTCTGTATTGAATGAATTATTACAATGGCACATTGCTGCCAAAATGAGAGTGTAAAATTATCTTTCTGACACTATTTAAATATTTGAAATGCTTCTAAATTACATTAAAATAACATGTTATTGAACAAATTTGAGCATGTTAATTGCAGTGTGAACCCGAAAATTCCGTTACAGATTGCAAATGTTAATAAAGTTTATTTATAAAAGTCGATAATTATCACTGTCATCGTTGTTTTTAAATTCCATTTTTCTTTTCACTATTACTTGATTTTCAATATTTCAAAATCAAAAATATGATCCTGATAAAAGAAGTATTGTGTGCAAAAACATCTGAAAGTATATTGTTTTCCCATTTCCAATTTGTGGAAAACTGCTGCGGACCAGCTTGTTATCCTCAGTAAGTGAAAGATCTGTCACACGCCTCTGGAACTCTCTGAGAAATATCCCGTACTTTTAACTGATCTGGAAACTTCCTTTCATAACTGAAAGGTTAATAGGAGTCTTTAGCAAATAGTATTTTTCTGAAACTTAAAGTAATTACAGTAAAACTTGCTTGAAATGGAAATTCAAGGTACCAGTGTTAATTCTACAAAATTCTATTGAAATAAAGCAAAACATCTTTAATACAACACAAAACTATGCTTACAGGAAATTTTCTGTTTACTCTTGAAAATGAAGTACACTCGCAAATCATGCTGATATATCTATACTGTTGATTTACTGCGAAAAGTACATATATACTGAAGTTAATCAAACGTTCTCTTATAATAATTACAATTTTATAATATATTACTGTATTTCTCTTCACTTACTTTCCCTAATTTACTTACTTTGCCCAGCTTTGGTCACACTATTGTAGTACACACAAATATTTCATCATATTTCTCCTATTATTAACTGCTTGATGGCCTACGAATTTCTATAAAAACAAACAAGCATAACAGTTCTTCCTCTATTTTAATATTCTAAACATAACTTGGCCGTGATATAATATTTTTGTTCATGTCTTTCTGCATAAACTTCCCTTTTGAAGAATTTACAGCAATCTTGGTGTTGTCAATGATGTCAGCGACTGTTCCATATTTCTGTCTGGAGCTCTTCTTACATCCACGCTGAATTTAACTTTTGAAATTTTTACTCTTATTCGCAACCTAACTATCCTACAAAAATTACTGTTTCTTTTCTATAAATTGCATTTCAATTAATTCCCTATTCTCATATTACACATGGACATGTCCATTTTCTCCATCAACTAATTATGAAATACTTCTACTTATGGCTCTGACAGCTATTAGTACTTCCTCTACCAAATCCAGCATAGCGCTGACCAAAATACTTCACTTACACTTCCTATCTAGCCTAACCGGTTCACTTGTTTCTTTGTTACTCTTCTTCATCGATGCGCTCTTGTCGCACCCTAACTATATAGCTCAAGCGTTATTTGTCCCCTATCAACAATGTCCTTTAATATTTATCTGTTTTTTTAATTCTTAAATTTTCCCAAATTTACTTTATCTAATTAATACTTGGATTTTCATTCACCTCATGTTCCCAATGTCTCATTTTCATTTGCGTTATTGCGCAATTCCTTGTATTGCCTCAATACTACACTCAGTATTTAAACTGCAGTACTTGTATGTAAAATCTCCTCCTAATTCTTTCTCTGGATTTGGCAATAATTCTGCAGATGATTCAAAATCATAATGTGTTGACAAATTTTCATTGCTGTGGTGGTCTGCATTTTTGCAGGAGAGGTTATTTGTCTGACACATGTTATTGCTGAAATGTTTTCATGTGCTTTCTTCATTACTTTATTTATTTCTTTATTGGTAAATAGTCCAAGACGAACGACTAAAGCCTGGAAGTTTATGAAAATCATATTTATAATTATGAGCACTGTAATATGCTAATAATCAAATGTCCACAAAACATAATCAAGCTAATGAAAATTCTGTCATTTTATGTAGCATATTAGTGCATATTTGTTTTAATGGATCATTTTTCATATTTAAGTTTTTAGTAAANNNTAAAAAAAAAAAAAAAAAAAAAAAAAAAACATCTGAACGTTTTCCATTGGGTTGTGCATGGTACGGGCAGATATCATCCACGGTTCGATTCCCCTCATCCCTCGTTTCAGAGCGAAGTGCCGAGATCATCTCATGGAAGTCAGGTGTGGATTGTCCGAGTAATGAAAATATGACCCGCAACCATATTAAAGGTTTTGGTTCTGGCCTTTCAGGCCTTGTAAGTTGGACATCCCCGTTCTAAAATAATGTTCTTGAAAGTTAGAGAAAATGTTCATCCCAATGGGACAGATTTTATATGTAGTGCTAGATTATTAAAATATGCCTTCTTGAAAGGGTGTTCAAATGAGAAAAAGTTTCCTGTTCCTGCCTTAGGTTATAATATCTCTAATAGGGGGGCTTATCTTGTCGTGATCAATTTTGCCGAGAATATCGACGGTGATACCGAGGGTTCTTGAACGTGTCGCTATTTGGCTGTGCGCGGCGTAGATTTTCGCGCCTAAAAAATCCGTGACCACTACCTAGTTTGTACTCTTGCATTAAAGTTAGGGAAGACAGTACCTACCACCGACATATCGAGGTCAGTGCAAAATACATAAATTCTTTCCTGATAGATACCTACATCTAAAAAAATGCTGTCAAAAAGGTGTTTTCCCTTTGCTTTCAGCCGAGTAAAATCTTTAGCTAGTGCTTTAAAAGACATTTTTGTGGCAGTTGACTTCACAATGTTAATATTTGTCATAAGCATGACTTATGGTTATTTTTTATAAGCTTTTATCGCGGTTCCTTCAGATGCAGTAATTATTTGTTTGCAGAAAATTGTTGTATGTGCAATTCAGAATGTAAAATATGTCAATTGCATAAACATTATAAATATCCAAATTCGAATATTTCAGTTAAAAAACAACTCTTATGTCGAGTCCTTGGGCTGTAGCTTTATTTTATATCCTAAGGCCGATATGGTATTAACTCGAAGGTTTTTAGACAGCCCATTTAATATTTGCAACTGCCAAAAGGACATAACTACATATTTTTCGTTAGACATGAAGCCGTATTATTATTTATTTCGTAAGGGGATTTAGTCTTCCTGAGTGCCTGGATCAAGCAATGATGCAGCTTGAGAAACAAGGCCCCATGGGGCTGCATGTGGGCCGCCGCCACCGTCGCAGTCTCCTCCTCCTCCTCCTCCTCCTCCTCCGTCGCCGCCTCGGCCGTGGTCGCCGTCGCGCGATCCGCAGGGGCGGCCAACGCGAAGCTTTACCAACACACGGCTCCTTTTTCACGTGCAGTTATTGCTTCTGGCGGAAAATTGCCAAGAAGTACTCTGTGATGTGCCTTTCAGAGGATTGTCAGCTGTTTTAGAGTCTCTGGTTTCGTGTCCTAATGTCGACTTTTATTTCCTTAGTAAGGTCTAGCGGATGAGAGCATCGAATATAAATATTATTTCAAGTTAAAAATTAGTTTTATCGACATTGGAGGTAGGACCTTTTTGTAAATAAGCTGATAAACATTTTGTGGGTAGAAATGTTTTATCTCGTTTGTATTATTTCTATGTGATGCAATTTGATAGCCCAGGTTCTTCAGATGCCGGTTAACTTCGTGTTCATTTTGTATTTGAATTTCTCCTGACTGGTCATTCGAATTGTTTGTTTATTTAAAAAGGAGAGCTGTCATATGATTGATGTACATGATTAATACTTTTTCACTTTCTCGTCCTTAAGAAGGCAGTTCGTAAGAAAAAGTTGTGTAATGCGCAAAAAGCAGCGAATTTTCGGCAGAAAAACTTTTTACACGACCCTGGCAACGAAAAAGTGGTATAGATGCTAAATTCAGAGAAAAAACGATCTAACACGTGGTGTAGCCAGAATCCATATTTTTGTGGGTCCTTCATGCCGAAAAATGACGGCAAAACGTGCCTGTGATCAACGCTAGCGGCTAAACCGTTCATCCGATTTTCTCCAAAATTGATATTTTCCAATCGATCTGGCTAATGTCGCGGCCCCTTGAATTTGAAACCAATGTTTTAATTTTGGAGGGGTACTTAACATGCTAGGGAGGGGTACATAACTCCTAGGACATTTGCAAAATAAAAAAAAAATATGCCACGATCGATTTTGGTTAAATTTTGTTGTTGGATAATGTGAAGGACGTTTAAGAAAATGATGTATGTCTCATGTTGGTTAAAAACCTTGAATATTCAAAAATTGAAGGAAAAAAATCAATTTTTTTTCCAGCGTCTACTCACAATTACAATTATGAAGATACAGTTCTTTTTCTTTATGAAATGTATTCATCAAAAACAGATCTTCAAATAAGGTCATGTTAAATTTTTCTAAAATATGAGTATTTTTTGAGTAATTGGGCATCAAACTTAGTTTCCCGCTCCGAAAATCCTACGCTTCATTATTGTACAAAATAATCCCTTAGAAATTATTTAAAACCTACTTGAAATAAAGATAAAATAAAAATTGCTGGCCTTCAGTCGTCTTTTCCCAATTTCCGCAGTTGGATGATACGAAATTTAGAATTTGTATATTATTTCATTTTATTATTATTATTATTATTATTATTATTATTATTATTATTATTATTATTATTATTATTATTATTATTTTATGTTATTTCATTTTAAATTGCATCCTTTAATTGTATTAAATGTGAAAACTAATAGATGAGCGATCATTGTTTTGCTGTTACCCATTGTTGTAACACTGCACTGATAACAGAAGTTGATAATGATGGCTGCCTTTCGTTCACAGTAATATAATTTAATACTTTCATATATTTGTAGAATATTTCAAAATCATAGTGTTTAATGATAATTTTATAATAATTTTCTGTCTTTAAAGTAATGGGCCAAATACAGTGTGACAAAATTGAAAAGTCCATTGACCGAAAAGTAAATAATAATCGTAATGTTTAATAATTGCTATTATATATTTTTCGATCTATTTAAAATTGTTCGCCAACACTATCAGTATCGTATTATTTATTAACTTTTAATTATTGTACTTTCTCGCATACTGCTTACAAAGAATGTTGTAAAGCTAAAAAACTCATCTGATGTGTTTGTGAATACACTGCATACCTTAAACAATTAAATTAATGCAGGAATTATGTTTTCATTTAATTGGAATAAAAAATCTATTGCTTGAAACTATTTAATTTTCCCACCAAATGTTCTGCGATTTCAAATGAGTTTTATAAAAAATGATGACTGAGGCATGCTAATTCAGAGAGAAATTGTGGTATTAGTAATATTAGGTAACCATTACTGAAGGCGAGAAAGTACATGCTGTTTATGCACCACTAGTTATCATTTGATATTAAACTTTAGAAAATACAATTTCTATTTTGAAAAATATCTATTGAACAGTTTCTATTTTGAAATTCTGTTGTCAGAGGATTTGGCTCAAATATTAATTGATATAATTATTAAAACCATATTTCATGTATCAAATTGTCTGAGTCCTAAATCAAAGGAAATAATTTAAAACATGGAACTCATATGGCATACTCTGTAGTTTTTTGTATATATAGGTGCATTTTATGTGACTTTTCTCTCTCATATTCTGAGACGGCTATTGTAAGAAAAAATTGAAGTAGGGTTAAATTTCAAACTATTCTTATTTCTTTTGTTAAAGTATAACTTTTTCCATCTTCCATTCCTCATTTTCCATCTTCAAAATTTTGAACGCAAGCTTGCTAAATATGTTCTAATTACCCTAAAACATACTTCTTAAAAATTTCTTGGTGATTGAATTATTTTTACCCGTCTTGTAAACCCTCATATCCATAGCACATGATCTTAATTCTATGCCTTTACTATTCGAATGGTTGAAAACTAGAACGGTATAACATTTTATAAATTCTAAGAAAGACGTGTTTATTTTAGGTTGTATTGCAATTGCAATGTAATTTCGTGGTTGTAATGAACAATTACAATGCCGTGGTTTTAATGAAGTATCACATCTTTTCAGTAATATTGAATTAAATTTACGTTTTCTTAGAATTAATAAAAAGTCACTTATACTGTTCTGGTTTTCACCTATTCATTTACGGGTTCAATTATGTTGTGCAAATCACACAGTGGCCAAGAATGTTTCTGAGACGTAATATTTCAAAAAATGAACATAAGTTGATGTCACATCTAGTTGCTGCTTTATTTTACAACTTAAAGAAGGTACACTAAGGGTTATGGAAGGTGAAAATCTAGCTATTCATTAGTGAAAATCTAGTAATAATCTGGGAAAAGGCGAGAATTCCACAAGATCCTTTTGTAATAGCACTAAAAGCTTCACTTTCATTCTATTTCAAATAGATGCGTGAATAAAAGGGGGGATTAAATAAATGTTGAATTTCCATGAACTTATGACAGTAGATAAAGAACAAAAGTAATTATGTTGTGCTGTTAAAGATCATTGAAGGCTTTACGTGATAATGAAAAGCACTGAATACAAAATATCTAGAATAGTGAATGAAAATTGAAATGTATTTAGAATATTACATTAATAAATAAAATAATAAGACAAATATTACAAATGTCAACCAATTTTTTATCACTGATTCGCCCAATACACAACTTAATTCCAGCAATTTCTAATATTTAACTTCGAGCTCAGGTCAGAAAGAGTCAATCTATTGGCATAAAAAAATTATTAGTAGTCTTTATCAAATTCTATATGGTATGTGCAAAAATGTTGGCAAAAAAAACAGCTATTGGCTTAAGTAAGGCCTGCATCCTACTATTCATTCATACCATACTGGCAAGAGAGTACTTACTTCTGTATTTGCTATTAGGAATGTAGATTTACTGCATTCTCTCTCAGAGCATTGTGCCTTCTATTACAAATGAGGTTTTGGAGGGGAGGGTTTTGCTTCTGGAGAAGAGGTTTTTGATATTGATGATTGAATTCTCTTGCAGATGCCAGCTCATGGGGAGCGTGGTCCAACTGGCAGCAGTGGGGATGGTCGTGGGGGGCGAGTGGAGGGATAGTACCTCCTGGCGGAGTGCCTCCACCCAACTCCACTGCCGTCCCTGCTGGAAAGGCGCCCCCTGCAGCTGGTGCAACAACGGCTGCCTCTGCCGCTGCTGCAGCAGGGGGAGCCACGCCTTCTGCTGTCACTGCCACTGCTACCCCCACTGCCGCAGGTCCTCCTCCAGTGCCCCCCTTTGGTTTTCCTCCAAATGCCCAGCCCTTTCCTGCTGGTCCAGGTGGGGTTTTCGATTATAACCATTCAACTGGAAGCGAGCCATTTAATCAGGTATGTAATTTTCATATGGAGTTGGTTTGAATTGCTTGTTTACTTTTGAATTTGTGATAAATAATTTCTACATGCTTTACATTATCTTACAATTAATGACTACATATTTCTTGGTGCATTAAGATGTAAGATGTCCTTTAAAGTAATGTTCAGTCTTTTGGTGAAAATCAAATCATGCCTGAATCCATGATCATGTCTTTGCTTTTCCCTGGAAGATTTCTTTTGGAGAAGTTTTTGATGTGAATGTTCACAATTAGTAGTGTACATTTTATTGGGTTTTATTGTTTTGAGACAAAAAAAAGGAAGGGAAAGCAAGTCTAGCACTTCTAATTTTGCATTGTAATATTTTTATGCTTTACTTTCAGGTTATGGCTGGGGGTTACTGGTCAGGACCTTCTGATGGTAGTGCTGTGCCTCCTGTACCAGGGGGAGGACCTGCTCCTTTCATAAGGCACAACCGGCATGACTGGAAGCGCACAGGCCGCTCACATGATCGTACACGCCCCACTGATAAATCAGATGAAGAAGAGGATACAACTACTGTGATAGGTGAGAAAAAAATGCCCTCAAGAATTGTGTGGAGTTTGTTATTGTTGTGTATATGTTCTGCAAATTGTCTCTGAAAAATTCAATTTTTTGAAGTCAGTGAAGTTGCATTTGCAACTAAGTCTACCAGCAGAGGAAATTTTTTTAGTAGAATTAGGGTGAAGCTTATAATTTCGTGAATACAAATCCTTTAAGGTTTTATATTTATTTAACATCAAAATACAGTTAACACCGGTGTTTGTATTGGGAAAAGTAATATATGCGCAAGTTTTCTTAATATTCTACAGTGTGGGTGCAGGTGGAGGAGCTGTCTGACTATTTCAGGGCTTGAAAGGGCGTTCCAACTGTCAGTATGAACTTATCATGCCAAAGCTTGGCATGAGAAATACAATTATTTTGTAGGTACAAGGTGGATGTTGGTAGTGTTGTCAATTGGTACATGCTGTTTCAAATCGAACCTACATATCTCAGTGGGCCGTGCTCTGTAGCGCTGAGCACACATCAAGGAGCTCCTGTATCAAGAAAACGTGCATGAATAATACTGTCATATTCTTGAATCCTTAGCAACTCTCTACAATCAAGGATTCTTATGCTGTACATTCTAATTATTAAAACAAATGAAAAATATGGCATGTTATGTTCAGCAGTGTAATGATTAAAGTAGGTAATAGAAATGTATGATTCCTGAAAATGTACGGGAGCATAGATAAAAAAGAGTAATAATAAAAAAAAAGAAGACTATTTAAAAGAATAGGTTTAAAGGATTTAAGTGATAAAACACAACTTGACAGCAGTCAAGATTTTAATTTTCAACTCTCGTTCCATGAATCTTCTTAAGGATTTGTGGGCTTCTGTTATTACAAGTTCCTATCCACTGTGTTAGAACAGTGTTTTTATTATTTCTGTGAAATATGAGAACAATTACTCTATTTACAGGGTTGAGCGGTATTTAAATACTTGTACTTGAAATAAGTGTTTTAAATACATTTTATATTTGAAAAATTGTATTTTTGAGTTTTTTGTGCATGTATTTTAGATGTGTATTTAAATACATAAAGTATGTGTTTTTAAAAAAGAAATACTTCAAATACCTCCAATGCAGACGAAGAAGAAGAAGATAGTTTAGAACGAGAACTGCTAATTGAAACAAAAATTAAGGCTCCTTTCATCTGTTGAATTTGGATTCTCTTCATTTTTAAATGATAAATCTAAATCATTAAAAATGGTGGACAGTTATCTGGCAAAAACAAAAAATTGTTTATTCGTTATACTATTTTATGTTCATCCGTGCCAGTTGAATGACTTTTCCTTTGCAGGTTTTATACATTTTCCAACTAGGGGTATATTGTCTGATAATAGTTTTGAAAAAATAAGTTGTTTTATAAGAAAATTCTACTTTGTGTTAGACATATTTTTGATTTCAATTTGGAATTTTATTGGTTTTTGGAATCAACATACAGATTCTGCTTTATGTATATATTTGTAAAAGTGGTTCCTTATTTTGTAGATGCTGCCAAAAGGAGACAGTTACCTGCATGGATTCGAGAAGGTTTAGAGAAAATGGAAAGAGAGAAACAGAAAAAACTGGATAGAGAGAGACAAATAAAAGAGAGGGAAGAATATTTACAAAAGAAAAGAGAGGAAGAAGAAAGTGCATTGAATGAGCTTGAAAATAGCACTGGTCAACCTGTGATACCTAAAAAAAGTAAATTTGTAAGTATAAAAACTTCCAGGTTTATTTTTCAATCTGTTTCTTGTAAAAATAGGTGATGTCTTACCATTAATTAGGACTCATTTCAAATCTGTGACAATTCTCTGTAGAAATATTTGCATGTTCAAAAGTTTGTTTTCATGTTTAGTTTAAGCTAAACGAAACTCCTTAGTCAGGTTTACTTGTTATTGAGAAGAAAAAGAAAATAAATTGGCAACCCTCTAATATTAATTAGTTCTATAGGGAAAGTACTTAGTATTGAAAGATATATTGGCGCTGTCTTAAGTTCAGAAACTGTTCCTTGGCCAATTGCTTGTGCACTGGGATGAGAGATTGGGCTGTAGATTCGAAACGAGTCAGTACTGTTGATGCAATTACACAGATGATTGTATGCTTACATACTTGTCACTAGAGTTGGGAAAAATAAGTAGTATGCTGTGGCTAAAAAAAAGTAATGAAAATATTAAGAATGTGTAACAATTACTGTGGGAAAGCAGGATGTAATACATAAACACAATTTTAAAGTACATTCATAAATTTATAATTAATACTTTTAATTATAATTAATAATTTTAAAAATTAATAAATTTTTAAATCATTCTTTGTAAAATATATAATAAATTATAATTTTGATTTAAGTTCATGATTTTTTTGGTGAATTATGTGATTAAAATCAATATCACTTGATTTAAGTCATTGTAACCCTGATCAGACCTATTGAAAACAATTTTGAAGAGATGTTAATTGTTCACTGTTACAATGAGTAAATAAAACAGAAAATAATTAACTACTTACATTTGATAGTGCATATTTCAATCATTTTTTCACTTAATTGTGCATGATTTTTTATTTGAGCCTATAGTGCAATTATATTACAATAGTGCATGTTTGTGTCCGTATATTATGACTTTATGGTGCATGAAAGTCTGGTCATTGTGTATTATCCTTTAATACTTGCTTAAGAATTGTGATTGTTTTCTTTACCTCCTCAGGAAAGTGATTCTGAAGAGTCAGGGCATGAAGAGAATACAACATCTTCTCAGACATCTAAGAGAAAATCACGTTTTAGAAATGTAGATAGCCCTAGTTCCTCTCCTCCAAGATCTCGGCATGTGCCTGTTGCAGATGCTGAGCCAGTCAAGTCACGTGAAGAAATTCTTCAAGAAATGGTATGTGTGAATAAATGTATTAGAAAGTTCATTCAGAGAAAGTTCATGTTTTAAAAAGGCTTGTGATTAGGTCATGACATTGATTTGTTTTGTCATAGTTCTGATTTCACAGTCAACACAAATATATTAAGTTGTATATTTGATCAAAATTTCTAATTTGAAATGTGCACATATTCTGAAGTTTCCTTGCAAGATATTAAAATAACAAAAGAGCTTCTTGTTAATTACTTTGGAATTGATCATGTATTTTTTAATATCATATTGTATTTGTATTATCTTCGTGTGAACTTTGCATTTATTTTGCAGATATCAAAATCCTTTTTTGTTCCTTTTAAAATATTAACATAGGTCTTATTGCTCATTCACAATACACGTTTTCGAAAGCTGGTTCATGTTCAAAAAAATCTCTGATTAATGTGGCAGCGCAGTTTCCTTTAAGGGAATTTATTGTGTAGTTTAAAAAAAATTGATTTTAATTTTTAGAGAGTTAAGGTCCCATAATTCTGATCAGTAAAATGTATGCTGCTGAAACTAACTGGAAATTTTTTGTTAAAACTTAACACAAATGTCAGAATTATTTTTGTCTTCTACTATATTTCTTTTGGTTAAATATAAAAATATAGATGAATTTTGGAGATGTGAAATATGTTTTCAAATTTTCAAGAAGCACAAAACATTGGCAAATAGGTCTGGAAGATTTTTCTTTAGCTTTTAAACTTATTTAACTTCTTCCTGAATGTTGTGAAATTAATTTAAAAAAATCATTCCAGAAGATAATAACTTTTATGTTTGTAGATGCTGAAAGTACGACGGACGCTAACCGAGATTTTATTGGAAGTGACAACCGAGGAAATGGAAGCTGTAGCAAATGAAGTGTTGAGTAAGGCAAGAGCCAAAGGTACATCATTACTGCGCGTTTATATTCAGAACATTATGTCGTGGATTAGTAAAGTACAATCCAAAAGGAACAGATATTCCTATATTGTTCCTGCTGTTACTTAAGTATTAATATGGTTTTAACCATACTGGAGAAGTAATGTGTGTTTTATTTAATTTGATTAGACTGACAGTCTTGATGATAAAAAACAACTAAATATATTACATTCATGTTTGAATGGTGCTTACAACAAGTGATTATGGTTCTATGAACCTTTGTACGGGTGTGACAATTAAAAAAAGGAAGTTGAATTTCTATTTGCATATTTATAATATAAGAATATTGAAGGTTTGATCCCTTATCTTCTCACCATAAGTTTTGTGCAGTGCTGTTTTCCCAATTTTATCTGCCAATGCTTTGTGAAGAAAGTTAGCTGTCGGCTACTTGCAGATAAGCTGTTCTTCATGGATCTTGGCTGCTTTTTAGGGAACATAGTAAAATGAAAAATGCCATCTCCCTCTGTCCTTTATGTGTCACAGTCATCTTGTACTAAACCACTTTATATTTATGACAAAAGCTCCAGCAATGCAACTGCGGAAGACCCAGGCATTAGCATCTTTGACGGGCAAGCTGGGTGAGTGACAAATTTTTGTATGTTTTCCTTTCCTTTTGCATCAGCCATTTGAATAAATAAATGCCAAAGAATAAGGTTTGAAGTGTTGCAAAACTTTCATTCTGTGATTTTATTGAACACAGTAAAAACATTAAAAGAAAGGGATAAAAATTTGAATATATTTATTGCATTCAATCTTGTACAGTTGATTGATACACTTTTGTACTTTTTGTATAACGCAAAACAGTTTGCAACTCTTTAAATGAATGGTGTTCAGCTTATTCAAGAATTGTGGGATTTATTGGTGCATTGAACCAATCTATGTTGAATAATTCCTTTGTGACAAATAATTGAAATTGTATCATAGTTTCATGATATGGAGTGATCATGAAGCAAGTGAACCTGGCTGAGTTGGTGGTGATATAGGGAAACTTACATTGGCTTTTATTCCTCCTAGCATCCTTATATCTCCACCAGGAAAACCATTGTCACCTTTGGAATATTTATGATCGCTCTGTATACAAAGTGAAAAAGTTGGTTGATTATCTCTTTGTATCAGAGAAGTTCAATTTTGTAAATTGTCCTTATTATTTGTCCCAACAATTTTTTTCTCATATAAGTTGTTAAAATGTAGGCAGCTATTAAAAACTGGCAGGCAAAACTTGAACGATATTTATCCACAGGTCTGGGTATGTATGGAGACAGTGAAGATTCTGACAGTGGAGATGAAGGTGATGGCAGCCCACGACAACTCAATGGAGCTGATTCGGATGAAGAACTTAAGGTACATTACCCATTACCTTTATGGAAAAGAAATATTGTGAATTGTGCAGTCATTGTTTAAAACTATTTTCAAAAATGTTGTATAAAAAAAATCTACCTTTTATTACTAAGATGAATAACTATTGAGAGTGACTTTCTTTACCAGCATATATTACTAAAATAGTGTCGTTCAGCAATATCTAATGTATAGCAATAAAGTAATACAGTGTGAAATCTTGTTTCAATAAATACTGGTATAATGAAAATACTAGGTTTTTTGAAGTTATTGTCAGGTTCCCACAAATTTACTGATAGGTTACTAACAGAAGTAACTCAGCTGTGCTCAGACATTTTTTATCACAAGTATTTTTTAAAGATATTTGTACTCTTATTTGCTATAAACTAATATAAACTTAATCTCATTCCAAAAGTACGAATATGAAGTATTTACTAGGGAAAAAGTATTAATTTCTTCTTAGGAAGAGAGTGAATGCATTCTGTTGGTTCCGCCACCACTTAATAGCATGTGCAATTTTGGCAATATGTGCACGTACCTTCGATAATTTTGAGTGAGAAGGAATGCAGTTCATATAGTTGAAATTCATCCAATAGAACAATAAATATTTGTTATGTATTGTATATTATTATTCAAATGGTTCCACCATGGTATCCATTTTCCTCCTAAGAATGTGATTGCACAAGCTGTGTGTGTCTTCTAATAAGTCATACGAAGAGAGCGTTACAGAAACTGAATATTGCGTGCAAAGTAAACAGCAGTCTCAAGAATGTATCACTAAAGGTATATGCAAGGAATACTGAGAACGCAAAAATCTTTGCCATCATTCAATTGACAGCAAATCCAAAAATTGTTCTCCTGATATAAAATTTGTGCAAGCATGCTTGCTGGAAGGGTAACGTTCATTGAACCAAAGGATGTAACAGAATACTAAAACATGAAATAGCTGTGCAGAATCAGAAAATAAATGTAAATATTTGAGAAATAATGTGATTTCTTTAGGACCGCATCATGAGACGAAAGCAGGAATTCCAGAAAACTGAACGTGAAATTGAGGCACGGCTGCGAGATGAAGAAGAAAAAGAAAGAGTAAGAGAAAAGCAGCTAGTGGGGGATGAGAGTGAAGGGAGCGACGGAGAAGGCAGACAGGTAGAAAACCAATCTGATTCAAAGCGTCCTGCTCATGAGGGTAAGTGCAGTTTTATTTTTACTGACAGACTAAATTGGAACAATGGCAGTACAATCTTTAAAGCATCCAGTGTTTTAGAAGAGATATTAAATCACCTTTTTCTTATTCAGTTGAGAACCAAACTTATTTCCAATGTATCAGTAATAACTTAGTTTCACAGGATTAAATCTGAGGGCTTCATATATAATAGATTTTTATGAAAATTAAAAAAAAAAATTAAAAAATTAAAAAATTCTTGTTCACTGACCATTTGCATGGCACCAATTCATCCATTTGTGTAGTGGTGTCATCTGTTTCTGCCATGTTAGAATAAATAAAATTTTCCAATCTTTGAATTTTGACTAATGTGAATCTATTAATAACTAATCTAGGAAAAGCTTCTAAAGGAAGAAAAAAGAAATCTAGTCAGTGATGCAGTTAGATTTAAAGGGATACATTATGTTTTAATAAAAAGAAAAGGTCACCAATAATTTTAGTAATTGTTGCCTAAAATCAGGATCAAGGGGCATTTACTAAATAATTAGTCTTTTCATATGATTCATTTATTGATGCAAGATAACATGCTTCTAGGTTCAGAAGAAGAAGAGGAGAAGGTTCAGAGAAATCTGCATCCACAGGACTCTTCAGATAAAGTTCAAGGATCCCGGGAATCTTATTCCTCTTCGAGGAGAGCATCGCGTGAGGAGAAAACTGATCATAGTAATAGGAAATCCAAATCGTCTTCCAGGACATCTGAGTCACCTTCTCGGCATAAAAGAAATGAAAAAAGAAGTGCTAGTACTGAGAATGACAGTAGTTCAAAGAGTAATTCTGATAGCTCTTCCAGTTCCTCTAGTTCTGATTCCTCTTCGCGATCTAGTTCTTCAAGTAGGAGGAGCTCAAAGAAAGGTTCTAAAACAAGTAAAAATGATAGGTCTCGTAGAAGAGATAAGAAGCGCAGTAGCAGTAGTCATCAGAAACGTAGTCCAAGTTATGAAAGTGATTCTAGAAGGAAAGGAGGATCTCATAAGGATAAAAGGCATGAACATTCTAGTAAAGATAGGAAAGGACGGGATAAAAGGGAACGTAGAAGTAGGTCTCATAGAAGTCATAGTAGGGAAACTAGTGAGCGGCGTAGAGACAAAGATGACAGGCATCGTCGTGATGTGAGGAGGAGTCATGACAGTGATCGCCGGTACAACAGTAGCAGTAGTAAACATCACTCTTCTTATCGGAGAGATAGGAGTCGGTCACGTTCACATAGTAGTCGCAGGGACAAGAAGAGCAGTGGAAGTGGTAAACGGCGACACAGAGACTCCTCAGGTTCCAGTTCTCCATCATCATCAAAGAAACGTCAGAGTTCGAGAAGGGGAATGGAGAAAAGGTCCAGATATTCTCATTCTAGGTCAAGTTCTCCACCTTCTCGGAAGAAGTCCCAGAGACGGCGGGATTCATCTGAGAGCTCTCGGTCCACACGCTCACCTGAGAGGTCCACGGGTAAGAAGTCCGGCCACAGCCGTAACGACTGATCCGGATGCTCCTGGTTGAAACTCGAAAGGTTGTATTTTTATCTTTTTTATATTCTCTATATTTCTAGTCTTAAGTTTATTATAACGTTATTGCATGGGGGATATTCAAATGGCAATATTTTAAGACGAATTAATGTGAAAGTATTGTTTCAGTGTTTAAAAGCCAGCTAAAAAATATTAATCTATTATACATGTTATATTGTGATAGTGTTGTTTGATAGAATGTTATTTTATGTTTATGTATTGTATTATTGTTTATACAAATTGGCAGATTGTCCCTGTGCATAAAATAGAAAATGCTTTAGCATTTTGTGAATGAGCCGTGATTTTGACATGTGAATTGAACTCCATTTAAAATTTATTTCGCATGAATTATAAGTAGTTACTGTTTGGTCAAATGAGATTCAACAATAATTTCATTGAAATGGAATTCGTTTCTCTCAGTATTCTTTACCCTACAACAATTACTCAGATTTTTAAAATGTATTTTTGTTTTCTCTAACCTGGTAAGTGGGGGACATTTTTCTCTTAAAAGATAGGTTTGTGCTCAGTTTGCTAGTGCTGCTCATTGTTATTGTTGTTTTTTTTAAAATCTGCAAAGCATTTTTATTATCTGTGCAAGTTTCTGTACATGATAATACTCACTCCTTCCATTTCAACCATAATCTTGTGTAGAACAGGTGTGAAAGTTATACATTATATTAGGAAAATGTTTTCAATAAAATTAAACTATATTTGATTCCACATTTCCAAGAATTAAAATATGATCTTTTTGTACAAAAGAAGAAAGTCGAGGTGGGGAAGGAAAAATCTTCGTATGCGAGTGTGAGCATTTGCTTTCTTTTTTCTTCTCTTTTTCTTTCTTCTCCCTCTTGGGAATGGGAAAAGTAATAATGTCCAAAATGATTACTTAAGGGAATAATTAAAATAGCTTTGTATGGTTATCCTGTAAATTCTGTATTCTTTTAAAATTTCATGGTAGTATATTTTTTTAATGGCCAGATCAGTTATACAGGTTCAGTATACTGGGCAATATTCTTCTAGGTTAATAGAATAATTCAGTTTCCCAAGGCGTTGAACTGAAATGTTAAAAAAAAGTTCTAAGAGTGCGATCAAAATGGATACAGTTTTGGTTGATAAAGTTCTTTGCAACTTGTTATGCTGAATTCACTTTCTGAGAAGTGATTTGTATTGTTAACAACAGGTATCAGAGTTTTCAGATGTTTTTCAGTTGCTTGTTAAAAGAGAAGATATTCTTGTTTTGTATCAGATGCCACAGACAGTAAAGGAATAGGTGTTTCTTTACAACTCTTCAAAATTAAACCAAAGAATTCCTGTAGAAACAAAAACTTTGCCACTAGGTTAATATATTTCTAAAATAAATTTTTGATGTTAATTACTTTCAAAACATTATATTGAATGTTATTTAATCGCACGGGGTTTTCTGTTTACAGTTAATATTAACTGCATTTAGATGTTTTATAATAGCAGTTACAACTCCCAAATAAATAAGTAAATAAATAAATAAACTTTGTCCTATAGTCCTGTTCAGAGAGAGCACATACTACCATGACTGTGGCAGTGATGTTGCACAAATAAAAGTTTGCATGATTTAAGTTGTGAACTAAATCAGTTGCATGCATTTTAATGAAAAGATAGGAAATATATTTGGAACCATTTCAAGAGCAGAACCCAATCATTTTATTACTAGAAACATAACTGAATTGAATTTACGTATGAACTGAAACCGGAAAGTTAATGATTTTTTTTAATTCCAATATCTTATTGAATCTCTCTTCAAAATTCTGAATTTTTGCTGATGTTTTGTATGTAGTGTGTCAAATGCTTTGGTGCATTATCAACTGCGGTTTTCTGTTGTTGTTTTTTTATACTTCTAGCTTGTGTAACACACAAATCCCTCTTCTACAAATTAATCTATGTATTACTGGATAATTTGTTTTCTTAAAACATCACCATTCATTTGTTTATGGATTCCTGGTTTCCTTTAATTGTTTTATGTAAAACAATTGGATTTTGATGTATAACCTATAGTGATGATGATTATAAATAATTTTTGTTTTGTACCACTGATGTTACTGAATGTATAAATAAATACATATTGCTAGAATCTTATGAATGCAAAAGAGGGTAGATTTCTCAAGTTGGCCTTGAAGCACACAAGTAATATTATTTTTGGTTTTATCCCTGTTGAAAACATGTTTTTTAAATTATACAAGGGAGAATTTTAATATTGAGGATGTAAAATGAAAAGTAAATAATCCAAATTTCATGGAATTTTTACATATTCCCATTTTTTTCAAATATAATTTAATGAAATGAAAATAATCTAATTTTATTATAAATTAACATCACTGAAATTCATCTAAATGGCTAAAAATGCCACATTTGGTAATGATTGAATATATACCTGCACACACTTATTTTAATTATTATTTTTTGTTTGCAATGTATACATGCAGTGCATGTAATGGCAGCATGATTTGCAAGTAATAGAGAGGATGAGATAACAAATAGTTGGTAGATTTTCAGTCTACTATTTGTTTGTCAGTCTGGCGTTAGATTTTCTTGATCAGTCTTTTGCTTCCACGTATTGGAAAGAGAACATTTCTGTTTCAGTTGGCGACTGCGGGGACAAGGAATGTGAAGACATGCCTTTCTGACAGCTTTCATGAATTTTTTTTTTATTTTATTTATTTTCTCTACTAAGCATCTGAAGTAAATGAATGAAATCTGACTTGAGGTGAAACATGTATGTATGAAAACGCTTAATTAATACGCAGAATTTTTTATTGTAAATAACGCCTCTTTTAATGCTTCATTTGAAAAATGTAGCATTTTGGATTTGCTGATAATTTTAATATCAAGTTTCAAGAGTTTAATTTAATGTAAACACCCAAACTGGCCACTCCTTTTTGTGTCCTTTTTTAATCTGTGAAGTTAGATATTGTAGTGTGTCAGTTGATATCATTGAGATAAATGCAAATTATATTATTTTGAGTTAGAAGTTGGTACATTACTTTTAAAGCACCATTTACTCTAATTCAGAGAAATGTAGCTCATGGGTACAGCATTGGATAATTCACATTCCATTTAGTCTCCCACTGAGAGAACTGTTGCATCCTAATCATAATGATTAAAAACAGGGGGTTTTCTATTGGTGCTCTGTTTGGCAAGCTGAATAATACAAAATACGTATGCTGTGTGCTATGTATCGATTGTGTAAAATGCTGTGAACAGATCGATCAATGATGTTTTGAATGAATTATCTGTTTTTATGTTTATATGAAAAGTACAATTACTAGAGATGTTTGACATACTAAAATATTTTCCTAAAGAAAAGTGGCCGAAAATTCTGTTAAGCAATAAAATCCAATTGTGGAAGGATTAAGCAAATCCAGTCTGGTGCATATGTACTTGCACATGTGTGCTAAATATTCTTGAAGTTTAGCACTGCAAAAGTGTGATATCTTCAGAATGTATTTATTATGAACCTCTATTTGCATTTTATTACCAACCAATTCAACGTATCCTTAGGTGCTATTTTGAGACTTTTCTTAGGTGAATATTTCTTCCCCATCTTGTGCATTATAATGTACATAATTTCTTATTGTATGCTGCTTCACATCCTCCCAAATAATAGAATGCACTTGAAAGTGAGTATTCCAGCAAAGTCTTTCCATACATTTTAAAATGAATTTAAATTGTAATAGATTTATAAAGCTTGTAAAATTGTCCTAGAAATATTAAACAAATTAGAAACAAATTTGTTTCAATTTTGAATTACAAACCTTTCCTCATTCTTCAGTCTGCTTTTATTGTGAATGCAATTTCTGTATTAATGTAGAAGCTCCAACTTCAAGCTTAGGAGGTGGGGGCATGCGTCCCCGATCCTATCATATTTCTTAGAGTTTGGTTTTCTGTTTTAAAAACAGTTCTTGTCTTTTCTACAATCTTAAGTCATTTTTATCTTCAAATTGAAGTTTTTTTCTCTTTTAACCAAAAATATATCTATTTTAGAATTTTTTAAAGTACTCTGCCCTTGAATTCTCTAAGCACTTATGACCCTGAGCGTATTTCAGATTTTTGGTCACTATAACAATTTTTCTGTGGCAAAAAAGAAAGCTCAGATGTCTTTGATAGGTTTGCGTGAGTAATCGCCTAGAAAATCTCAAAGGTGTAACTGTGGCAAATTGCCCGATCCGCGATGCAGCCTGTAATGAATTATACGAACAGAATATGAAACTGTTTAGTTATGCTGGTTATGAAACTGCATTATCACATTTAATATTAAATCAAATGAATAGTGCACAAAAGCATTTGAACTTATAAAAGAACTCTGTGGTGTGACACCTTTTTACTTTCTCGCTGCTGCTTTCCTAGTAGAGAGAACGTTATGTGATGTTACGTGAAGAAACTGCGAATTTTCGTCAGAAAAACTCTTATTGCCAGATCATAAATCGAAAATAACTAGCACCTAAACTATGCGTATGATTTTTTTCAAACTGATAAAAAACATCTACGGTGAGGGTTTAAATTGAAACTGCGATTTTGAAAAAAACTTACTAATATTTTAGGGTACTTTTCATGATGCCTTCTTGAAGTTTCCTAATGGTTACAAATGTTTTTTAAAATTTCTTGTAATAATAGTAAAGACGGTGTTTGTCTGATTTTCACTGTTAACTCTGAATTTTCGATAATTGCAAAATATTTTTTCTGTGCCTTTCTTCAACTACAAAGTGGAAGATGAGATTTCCCGTAAATGAAATTTGTTCTCCATATTTAGTTCCTTCATTGAGGTCGTGTACATTATTTTTTTTTTTTTTTTATTTGAGTAGTTTTCGCGCAATATTGTGTGCAATATGTGCAATTTAAAAAATTAAGTTTTCTCTAAAATTGTTCCAATAATTTTTAAACTTTTATTTGGGATAATGCCTAATGTACTCTGAGATGACATAAACACCACTTTGCTCTATTTTAATTTGGGGAGTTATTTTACATGAAGCCCCTGAGACATTTTCAACAAAAAAAATTACGCCATCGATTTTGATTAAATTTTGTTGGATAGTTTGAAGGTTGAGTCTCATGCTTGTTGAAAACTGATTTTTTTAAATTGAAAAAGTTTTCGGAGTCTTCTTACAACTAAAACTCCCTTCATAAAATCTGTTTCTTGAAGAATAAGTACATATACAATTTTTCGAAACTTCTGAGTAATCTTGTATGAAATTAGCCAATTTTTCCTAAAATGGCTCCATCATTTTTGATCAACTTTTGCTTGCGTATAGTCTGAAGGACATTTAAGAGAATGGTGCAGGCCTCATGTTGGTTGAAAAAATTCAATGTTTTTTCGGCGTCTTCTTACACCTGCAGTTACGAAGTTGCAATTTTTTTCAAAATGAAATGTGTTCATCAAAAATAGTTTTTAAAATAAGGTCAAGTTCAATTTTGTGAAACTATGAGTATTTTTGTAGTAATTGGGCGTCAGAGTTAGTCGCCTGTTCTGGCAATACTTTGCTGCTTGATCATAATTTATGGTCGATGTTTTGAGGCAGTTGGATGCTACGTAAATTAGAATGTGTATAGTATTTCATATTTCTTTATTCGTTTCTTACATTGGAGATTTTGTTATACGTTTAAAAATTATTATTTTAGACATTATTTGAATCCTATTTGAAATAAATATGAAAAAAGATTGCCAGCTTTCAGTTGCCCACACTCAATTTACGCAGTTCGATGTCATATAAGTTAAAATTAGAATATTATTTCATATTTCATTTTATGATTATGAATTTCTGTTATTTCATTTGAAATGCGCCCTTTATTTCTGTTAAATGTGAACACGAATAGATGAGTGGACATTTTTGGTTGTTTCCCATTGTAACGCCACGCATATAACATGATAATGACAGCTGCTTTGAGTTTTACAGAAGTAAAACCTAAGACTTAGATATACTACAGAATATTACAGTACAATAGTGTTTAATAATTACTATTATATAATTTTCTTTTGTTGTTTTCCAACCCTACCAGAATTGTATTATTTATTAACTTTTAAATATTTTACTTTCTTGCATTCTGCTTATTATTCGCATCAAATGTTCTAGGATTTAAAATGAGTTTCTCAAAGAATAATTCGGAAAGAAATTGTGGTAAAATAGTGTTACATAACCGTTACTAATGACAAGAAAGTCTGTGTTGTTTGAGCTCCAGTAGTTTTCAAAACGTCCATCCGTCTGTCCGTTTATGAACACCACTAGCGCCTTAACTATGTTTAGCATTTTTTCCAAAATGCATATACTTAGGTCGATCTGACTAAAGTCGAGGAGCTGCGATTTTGAAAAACTTTCTTTAAAATGTGGGAGTACTAGGGACATTTTCAACATTTTCTGAAAAGTGACTCCACATTTTTCCTTTACTTTTTTTTAATGAATAGAGTAAAATATCTGAAATAATAAGCAAAGTGGCAAATTTAAACGCAAAAAAATAAATGAAACCGCTGAATTTATTTGTTATATTTTGTAAACAACTTTATTTTAGCCGGTTCAGCCTTTAAAATCAAGATTAGCATATTTTCTAATATAAACGTAGATGTCACATTGTAAGTTTCTTTTAAAGTAAAGAATACGTAATATTAAAAATTGTATATCATACAAGATTTACATTTATTAATAATATATATAATTATTTTAAATCAATGTTGATTTTAATTTAAAATAGTTTCAAGGTAATATGATTATTATTCGGTTCATTGCATCCTCGATGTGGAAATGAAGACTTTTTTTTGCGCGTATGTTTGCAATTGATAAAAAAAGTACTTCAAGTTAAATCTAAAAGTTGAAGATTTTACCAAAGTTAGGTATCCCAGCAATCTAGCACGTGTTTGGTATCACGCAATTTTCAGATGTTTATCTGGTCCCCCAATGGAGATATTACAGTTAACAATTAGGAAACAATACAAAATTCCTATTTTTGTTAGATGATATTATTTTTAAGTGGTTCATTATTTACCAATAATATTTTACGAAAAGTAGTATTCTTATGTGTGAAAGCACAGAAAAAATTAAGGCTGTGATTCTATTCCTTAGAGAAATTACTGTCTGAAAATCGAATTTTGTTCATTATCCTTCCATAGATTTGGTTTCAAATATTACCCAAATAAAAAATGGAAGGTGTGCTAATATTTTTTCGATTTGTATGCCAGAGTAAACTGAATCCAATGCTCTCTTTTTAGATCAACCCACAATTGAGTAATTTAGAAAAGAGTAGTGTCTACAAACGCAAAAACTGGCTCACGGCGTAAAACGAAAATGTCCATTTGTAAAACACGTAAAAGTAAAACAAAACAAAAAAAAAATTAAGATATGCAAAAACTTAAGGAAATTTATGTAAAAACTATGGATTTTTTTCGAGATGGTCGAGCGACCAGTGCTAGATCACTTAAAATGTATTGTCCCCAGTGTAAAATGCTAAAAGTAGCACAGTCAGCCAGTATAAAAGTAGTAGTAAAATTTTAGAAACGAAAGATACAAGTTTATCAACTGAGGAGAAAATATTATTTTCATATTATATCATCAATGTAATCGTCATTTTTTATCATAAGTCATATTTTGATAAAAATAACTACGTAAATATTTACATTTTCATATATTTTTAGTCCATAAAAATCGGTTCACTGTTCATGAGTCTTTTTCTGAAATAGTCTTTTGTAATTTCTCTCCTAAAATCATGAAGAAACGTCAATGAACCGTGGTAATAGAGGCCAGAACCACTGCTTAGTTTTAATATGAATTCTGTACATTTTTAAATTTTCGTCCATCTTTCCTTGCCCACGTAGGTGTTTAAGTTACCAAACGAAACAAAGTATTCACCAGGCACTTCATGGTGTCTTCATCAGTGGCGACACGACACGTGCATTCAAAAGTTGGTTTACAGAATAATGGCAGTAAGGGGGGGGGGCACTGATGCTGAGATTGGTATATGTGTAATATGAATTTAACATTTTTCTTCGAGATATTCCCGTTTCCACATTAGTTATCATTAATTAAATAAAGAACATGTGTACTTACGTGTTTGTAAAAGAAGTTGGCCCGCCTTTCCTTGCCCGTATTAAATTTTGTGATAACTCATTTGTCTGTTGCTTGGGTAAGCAAGTCACGCTCGATGGAAAGCATGTCAAGAGCTGATAATCTATCTTCTGCTATTGTATTGCACACAGTGGCATGTGGTGAAGTGTTTTTCTAGGGAAACAATTACATTTCAGATGGTTTATGTCCTTACATGGTTATGACATGGTCGCAGAATGGCGACCGAAACGTCGGCACCTTCGCTATGGACGCGGCGTCACTCGGACAGCCAGTAAATACTGGGTTGTGATAAAATACGTACATACGCGGTTTATTAGACGTCTACATACCGAGCGATGTATACCGCCTTCTAAGATTGATGAGTTACAGTTAATGTTTGATCAATAAGGAGAAGCTGTAGAAAAAATCTGATAGAAAAAGCTCTTTAAGAAAGACCGCCTTAATTGGGGCATTTTGTTTGTATAGTTGAACCCTACTGGTTTCACGAGTGGAATAGTCTTAATAAATTCATTATGCACCGATGAAACGAACCGTTTGTCAAGACTGTCTCAGCATTGAGTTGTTGAGAAACACTTTAGTCAAATATGTGTTGAATTTTAAGATTACGTTGCAAATAATGTACCACTTTTACAAAAAGTAGTTTCTACAAGTACATTCTTAAAATAAATTTAAAATTG